AACAAGGCCCGCGCTTAAACTGTGAAGAATGCCACCACCACCACGCTATATATATATATATATATATATATATATATATATATATATATATATATATATATATATATATATATACACGTTTACGCTTGAGGGGAGGGGATCACTTTGTCGACGTGTCACGCATTGTAAGGGCTACTCCACGCCTTTTCTGGCAAAACGTTTGTTTTACGAGGATGGTGTTGCCGTCAATACACAATCATTAGCTTTAGAGTGAACATAGAAACATTTTGGCGAGTAAAAGTTCCCCTGAAATCCCGTCGCATTTCCGAAAGTATCTCTACTTGGACCGAAATGAGTGAGTATAATTCCAAGAGGTAAGACTTTGTGCTATGCACGATAGATTGTTTTGTTGTTTTGTGCACCTATATATACTGCCATTTTCAACCAAAATAACTTCACGTGCAGCATTTTCATCTTATGACATGACTGAACCACAGTTCAGTTATTCAATTTCAGTAAACTGCAGTTTTAAACAATATGGCAGAGACTGTTCCAATTCGAAGGAACCGTAATGGGACGGTCAAATTAATAAAGTTGATGAGTATGGATTATGGTTGACCACGTAGTTATTAACTGCGATTTTGCCCCATTAAACACTGCAGCACAAGTAAAGGTGTTAACTACACAACATTCGACTATAAACGTCGATATGCGATGGCAGAATCGCACGGAAGCGTTTTCGGTGGGTCCAATGGGCGCGCGCCAACGTGTTTCTCGGCGACACTATTTACTTTCGGTATCATTGAACACAAAGCTATCAATCCATACTTTACCCTATTAGACAGCGAACCACAATAATTATTTCTAATCACAGAACATTCGATAACAAAATGTCGAACGCGTGACAGCAATGAAACGCGTGAAAGAATTCTCGATGATTCCGACAGGCGTATACACTGATGCGGTTATCTGTGACGCTGCGGTGCAGTTTTCGGCAGCATCGGCGATGCAGCTCGTGCCTTGGGAAGCGTCGTGCCGAGTTATCCGGCAAAACAAACCTCCACAGTGAACCGGCGAACAACGTGTGTCCACCGCTGTGGTGTAGCGGTGGAACTCGGTTGCTGGCCCGGCCGGAGGTTCCAGCTTCGATCCCAAATCGCGGCCGATAGCATTTCCGCTGAAGGCTAAATGTGAAAGGCCCGTTTATATGCACTGAGCCAGGTCAGTGCACGCTAAAGAACACCAGGTGGTCTAAATTTCCAGAGCCCATCACTACACGGCGTGCCTTGTAATTATAACGTGGTTTGGGCACGTAAAAGCCTACTTAATTATTATTTTAACACCGAGCGTGTGTAATCAGAATAGTGATTATCACCCCCCGTGCAATGCAGCACGAGGTGTGCGGTATCGTGACCTTCGCAAACGGAAGTTAACAAATAATGAGCACGAAATTCGGATGAACAGATGAGATGTTACCGTGCCAATGAAACCAATAAAGCTTCAGACGGAAACTGCCAGTCCAATGGTTATTTCCTTAGAAGTGACGTGGATAATAAAGAAGAAGCGAATTCACAACGCGCGGACCTGGACTATATATATATATATATATATATATATATATATATATATATATATATATATATATATATATATATAGCCGGTTGGTTATTTCTTCATCCACTTTTCTTTCTTCTTATTTACATTCCATTGGTTTTAATAACTTCCCGTGCACATTCCTTGGCATTACTGTTTGTTAGATCTCATATAAATATATATATATATATATATATATATATATATATATATATATATATATATATATATATATATATATATATATATATATATATATATATACGAACTTGTGACGCACCGCTATGCAAAAGGTCACTGGTTCGACTCCCGAGCACTGCTGCCGCGTTTCATTAGGGGCCAAATTGAATGAGACCAATGAGATCATATTTAGGTGCACTCTACCCCAGGCGGCCGAATTGATCGAAAATACGACGTGCACGCCACGATGGGCCCCACAGTCATCGTGGATTTGACACGTAGAGAAAAAACCATGAATTATTACTGTTATTTTCTTCTAGTTTGCTATAAATTGAATGTTGCAAGTTATATACATTATGTGCGGCATACGTGACTTCATTATAGGCGGACGAGGGCGCATTTAAAACTACACAAGGAAGTCGTCATATCGACGATCAGTAATCATTAAGCAAGGCGAAAAGCTACAGAATAGAAAAATCATCAGGCGTGAGGATGTGTTACATGTGACAAAAACTTCGAGTCCATAACGGCGTACGATATTGAACAACGCTGTACGGCTATGACTTCACAGGCATACGTCGTAAAAATTAAAATAGCCATGCCGCATGCACTGGTGAGTGCGGCAATCACGCGGTCACACGCTCCTTTGATAGCTTGTCTTGCGTGCATTTTCCTTTCACTGCAGCCACCGTGAAGATCAATATACGTGTACTACGTGACACACAGTGATTATTGTGCTCAGCAACGAGCCTGCTGTGCTCAAGCGTTTGTACAAGGAAACGCCAATTGCACTGTATAGCTGGTGGAGCAGTGGCAAAATGTATAGTACAAGTAACTTACGTTGCGTGTTTCAATTGGTTGATCTTAGCGATTCCCCCCTTCCTAATATGTCTGATTATTACGCTCAGATAATAACTTTGTTCACCTAAAGAAAGGTCACATTTAACATGCGTCTCAGCGCATATCCAACAGTTTTTATCCGAAACGTGAAAATTATGGCGTGCTGAAATGTCTGCTTCACTCATTCACTCCGCGAAAGATACGTAATTCAAGGAAATACAACGAAGTATTTGTAATGCGCATATATCTGTTTTACGAAGCTGCCTGAAAACAGTCCCTCGTTTTGGCGCCTTCTTGCCTCGGGCGTGGAGTGGTATGGATGTCTTTCTGATCTCCCATACTCTCAATTGTTGAACACTTTTTCTAAGCAAACAATCACAGTTGTAAAAACCGGAAGCCCACACCAAAAACAAGGTATACAGGAGCAGCGCCTGAAACAATAAAATACAGCTTGTTGTCTAGCACTACTCGCGCTTTATGTTAACGATACTGCAGCACATTCTGAAGTTGAAGTGTTTCAATAGGTTCACTTGAGAGCGCTGTTTACTTTAATATCATTATGATGCTCTTCACTTGGCGAATTGACCCTTATGCGGCGTGACGAAGGGCTGTTAAGCACGGTTTGCTTTCCTGTTAGATTAATGACGAGGCGACGAGCGTGAAGAAAAGACAAGAGTAATATGTTAGCGCATAACTACATTCAAGACAATAACGGGGTCCAGGCTGCAGGCCCAACAACGTTAGCGCAGGTTGCAACAACCGAGATATACCGCGAAACTCCGTTTTCCAAGCGTTTTATTGCTATAGTGGACGATGCACCAAATCATGCGCGCATGCAGTTACAAGATGCCTTCGAATGTATACAATGTAACAGCCGGATATAACTTATAAGAATCGAATCCGTTATAACCTAATACGCATGACACGTTTTTCGAATGTTGATGAACTCAAGAATGGCGGAAGAACCGCAAACTAGATGCTAATGGGAAACGGCTAGCACCGCGAACGGTCAGAATGCAGAGAAGGAAATTAATCGAGAACTGTTACAGTGACCCATACTATGCTTCCTACAAGAGTTACTATGCAGGAACTTAGCAACCATGCTTGGCGTGGCGTTCACCGCTTTGATTTGTCTGCAGTTGTAGTGCTTTGCGGCTTTGCATACGCTACTGTAGCGTTATTTTTAGAAGGCTTTGAGTTTGTATGGACTTTCAGCAAATACTTTTCTGTTAATTTTTTATGCGCACGAAGGGAAGTAGTTTATGCTCACATTCACAAACACTGCGAATAACTTCACTTACAGCGCTGTATATTGTTCAAAACGGCCAATTTGATGAAATCGCAAGGCAGCTGGAAGCGATCGGTACAAAGTATAGACAAGTTAGCTAGCTAACCCACATTAATTAGCATGATGTCTAAATAGTGACATTTGAAGCACCCGTCGACCGTCGACAATAGCGGCATGGTTCATTCTGTTAAGATCTGCGTAAAAATGTATTTGTCGGAGCAGTTGCAATGTCTGCCACTGCATGCGGGTGGAGATAGTCATAGAGTTCGTATTATATGGTCGGCATATAACACATCAGTCGCATCGATATCGCGCCGCGCTACATTGTATTATAATGAGTGCAATAGAATTGCATGACATGTCTGTTTCGACAACGTCTTCGTAAAGGCTCCATAATACTTTTCTACTGGACAACATTTAAAAGTAGTTATCTATCCCAAATATTATTGAGGTGTTTTAGTGCATTATCGCAATTATTCTCTCATTCCATGAGCAGCGGGTCAAGGTTCGCTGTAGGGGACACCGTTTCCAATGTATATGTATAACTTTACTTTCGCTTATGGAGTAGAAGCGCTAATTAGATCAATATACTCAGAGAAACAAGGAGTAAGTCAAGCGTGAACCGAGCAAAAAAAAATCGAATGGGGACCAAGGTAATTTCTAGGATTTATAAGTTGGCGTAGATTTTTGCCAGCATTAAAAACGTCCATATGATTTAGGACAGTTATAAGTACACCACATGCGCTAGAACAACCGCGGCACTTCAGTCCCACTTCACACACATCGACTACGTAACCTTATGCGCCTACCGAAGAACACGTGGGCAAGAAAACGCGGACGCAAGAAGCCCAACAAGTAGTGGCCAAGCTGAACCCATTAACACCAGCATTACCTTCGGGGCGACAGCGATCACGGCTGTTCTCCATCAGCGGGGAGCGGCCTAAGCTGCCACCATCATCGTAACGACGCACAGCGTGGCACTAGCGCAGCCACTATACGGGAACGGGGAATCAGGGCCCCGGCTGGGCGATCGCGGCTCGATGATTGATGGCGCCGCGAGGGGCCTGATGGATGGCGGCTTTTGTTTACGCGGCGCACGTGGTCCGGCCGCAGTGCTCACCTTGGTGCTGTTTGCGCGTGGTCTTCTTCTCCTTCATCCAGGGGTACTCCGGCACGCCGAGCGGCATCTTGGCGCCGCCGGGCGAGCCGCCCAGAGGGCTCTGGCACATGGCAGGCGGTGGCACACCGCCCCCCGTTGTGGAAGCTCTCGTTGACGTGCGGCAGCGCTGTCATGAACTCCGCCATGGACGGCTGGCTGTTGATGAAGCCCGTCTCCTCTTCCATGGCGGATGTCCCCACGCTCCGCAGAGTCGATGGCAAAAAAAAAAAGAAACAACTTCGCCGCGGTCTCACCAGCTCACGGCATCACGCCGCTCCAAAAGCCCGCGCTGTCCGCTCCGCTCCCACCACGACTGCTCTCACTCCGCGACGACGGCGGCGACGACTGCCGGCAGCGCCGCACTGCTGCTCCCATCGACGACGCCCCGCGCGCGTTTCCCGAGGCCACGCCGAGCACGCATTTCGCGCGATTGATAACGGAACTCGGTTCCCCCCTCCGCGCCGGTTGCATCACGTGGGGAGTAGGCGACCAATGGCGCCCCGCCTTCGGCGCCTCGGCCCCGCCCACCGGGCGCGCGCGCCTGCCGTCTGGCTGCATGGGTGCGCGCGCGCGCGCGCGCGTGTTTGCGTGCGTTTGGCGACGCACTGCTTGCCGTTTGGCGACGCGCGCCGTTGTCGATGGGTTTGTACGCGAGCGCGTTTAATGACGGCTGACAAATCGGCGCGCCCGGCCCGAAGTGCGGTATCCATCACGGGGCCTTCCCTTTCGCTACACGCCGGGATCTCCGCCGGGCTCCCTCCCCGCACTGACGCACGCACACAGGTGAGGCGTCGCAGATTCGGGAGCCCGCGGGGGTCATCTCCTTCCGCGAGGCGTCATGCTGCGCGCCTGACGTGCTCTCTTCAATCATGCCCCGTCACGTTCACGCGGTCGCGCGTCCTGACGGGCTTCGCCTCGACATCGAAGACCACTACGTCTAGCCGAGCAAGACGTCGGCGACTGCTACATACATGCCGCTGCCGCATGTTGGTGACGAAAAGCCCGGTCTTGTCTTTTTCTCAACCGTGATGATGATGATGAGGCGGGTAGGGCAACATCAATTAACGCGTACTGAACTGAGCATGCGGTGTCACTTACGCCACTCCTAGTACATTCCAGCTTTCGAGAATACCGGTCTGAATTTAGGACGCCTGACTTCTTAATGTAAATGGGCGAACCGATATACTTTTGCTGATTCTATTATATGATTACAGCCGTTGTTCTATGCGGTTTATTTGATGTTATCGTCATTATTACTTACTGAAGGCCATCTTGCCTAAACTGTCTGTTCCTAGGATTTTGATGAATGTAACATTATCGTTCATTTCAGTAAACATTGCACATAAACTCTACCATTCTAGTGGCACTACTCAGGCACAAAGCTTCATTACTTCGAAGTCATACGTAAGCTGGAGAAACCACCACGCATTGCTGAAATTGCTTCTTTCTGGTAAAACTCAAGCGTATGTTTTTTTCCTTACATGTAACTAACCACAACATAAAGAACAAGAACAACAAAAACACCATCAGTCTTCCTATACACAGTCATGGTTCATGTGTTGTTAAGGTTTTATGTTGTATTTGACGAAAATAATTATTCCTTACAGTGTTTAATTGTAGCCGTAGTCCTCATGAAACCGAGAGGAATTGCCTATATACGTGGCAGAGCCCAAGACTGAGCGAACGGAAACGCAGAAAATAAGAACTCGAAAAAACGAAGTTTCACGGATGCCCCAGTTATATGGTAACAGTTTATTGGGATAATCATGGCCGACCTAGCAAGAGAACTTAACACTACTTCGACGCTTCTCAGAGTAAAGGATTGTAGCTTCACTTTTGTACGTGACCCATGCATCTTTGTTGAATAGAGACCTTCTGTGAGGGATTGCTTTTTTTCTCTTTTTTGTTTTTATTCGGCAAGTTAATTAGCACCCGTCCAACTGTTTGTTCTTCGTGTTTGCATTGTTTTTGTCGTGAGGCCATGATTGGGCTACAAACCTCAAGCATTGTTTGCTTGCGGCAATTTATATGGAACACGTCATATTCATTTGTGCTCGCTTGTTGTTAGTCAGTGTATATACCGTCAGTCGCATACTCGTGACTGCTGCTTAGGCGTAGCAATATTGTCCACTAAATATCTTATGTGTCCGTGTTCGAATACGGCGTATTACCACCGTCTTGTGTGTACCAGCTTTGCTACGATCAGGTCCCAAAAAAGGACAATTAATACGACTGCCGGTCATGTTAATCAGCGTCTTGTCAGGACGTTGAAGAAGGCAACTCCCAACCGACGTCGACGTTATGACGTCTCTAAAATCCTGATATAAGTCGGAGCAAGCTGCGATGAAGAATTCTGTTCATACGTACTCCGTCGAACACATAGTGCGTGTCAGATGTCGAATCTGCGTGGCTTACTTCGCCGTAGTCTTTCGGAAGCGTTACGATAAGGTGTGCTCCTCTTGATGCAGTTACAAAGCCACTATATGAACGCGAGCGTTGCCACTGATCCCGTAATAAATAAGGGAAAAAATTAAATATCTACACCCTCATTTAACTTCGGGGTTCTTTTTTTTTTAATTTACTGGAGAGTGGCATTGAAAGTGAAGTGAAAACGGCGGAAACTGATCTTGCGAGTATGTTAAATGTTAAATGTTTCGATTGTTTTGTATCGATCGTTAATGTTTTCTATTACACTGTATTACTACTGCACCTATTTCAAATCACGCAGTATTACACATAACGTTATCACAAGAACTATGAGATTAAATTTACGGGAATTTCGGTAAAATAAAGTTTTCTTGAGTAAAAGTGGCGATGCATTTGTCACCCCCCGCTTCCCCACCCGAGAAATATTTTCAAGTTGTTCTGCAAACAAGGCTGCATGTCAAGCCACTCACTGTGCCGTTCATACCACTTATTCTACACAAATATGGCTTCAATATGTACCATTCCGAGCAAAAACTTACTTAAGAGTGTGTTGCCGCTTGCCAGTTTAACTAAAAAGATGCACTTGACGTATTTTATTCGTGTAAAGTACCATGACCTCAGTTCTTTTCCTTCTTTTATTTTTTGTCTGTTTGCATGAAAGTACGATATTGTTGACGTTAAGAAAAATATTATAGTGAATGTGTTTGCTGTTGCATCGTCGAGCCTATAATCATCAATTTCACCAAGAAATTGGAAATTCATATTATGAACACCAATAATCACAGGCCTTTAACAAAATACGACTTATAAAAGCTCAATAGAGCTCGTGAAGACCGTGCATGCGCTGTTCACAATAACATAGCATTTGTGCTGCTGATTATGTATACGTTAGAGTGTGTTTGTGTGTGTGTTTTGCTGCTCTTATGCGAAAATACCTTAATAATGCGATTTATTACTGCCATAGTGCCAAAACTTCACCTGCAGCAAGTGGGTTTACATAAGTTTATTTTTTTTATGGTTGTAGAGAAAACCGGTCGAGAACGCAAAATAAGCAAACCCAAATGCATGCTTAGTGGGAAACACATTTATACGCAAATCTTTTTTCGGGTGTGTCGTAGGTCGCACAGTCGTATACCGTGTAAATTAAAACGCATTGGCGTTTTGCAACGGCCCTGCGTGTGAATCTCACTCAATATTTATGAAAGTGTATTTTCTGAGTTTACAAGAATGAGTTATAATAAAACACAAGATATTATTATGCAGCTTATTTACCTGGAATGCAGCATATCGTAGATATATCCACACACATTTCGAAGAAACGCTATTCATCCGATTAGTAAATGTGAACGTTTTCCAGGGCTGCGTCGCAGTATAATTTGCAAGAACGACAAAAAAAAAAAAGCTCGGTCAATAATTTACAACTCAACACTTTGGAGCAGAATATGGTCCCCTCCGCTTGTGATATAGTCGTGGTAACTTTGTACCACGACAGCTGGTGGCTTTCCCATAGTACAGTGCGTATATATAGTGCTCTAAACCGTCCAACAGTCATTCTAAACGCAAGTCTATGGCTGTCCCATAGCAGAGTACATCATAATCTAAATCATCAAACAGTCGTTTTAAACATAAACCTATTGCTCTCTCATAGTAGAGTACATCATACTCCAAATCATCCGAAAGTTGTTGTAAACACAGCTATTTCATTTGAAATAGCGAAAGGAAACAACTTCATCACTATGAAAGTGCTCATAGCTTATACGTGTGCACGAAAACTAAAAACCAATTCCAATCTGCGAACGCCTGTTGCACATCTTTGGGTGATAGCAATTCACGTTTGCCTAGTTTCGTATACTTTGTTTACAGGGCGTGTCCCGTCAGACAATGTTTTAGACGTGTTCTGCTAAATAGAAACGCTTATAGAGAACTTTGTTTATTGCTCAGTTCTAAGATAACACCGAGGCAGTTTTCAATTAAGATGAATGCTTTAAGCTCGGATTGCCAGATATATTTTACGCACTCTCATATCACGCGTTTCTCAATCTTACACCACTCAAACAGGATAATATGTGGTGTCGATTACATTTCAAGGTAATGCTATGCGAATAATGTGTGTGTGTGTGTGTGTGTGTGTGTGGCGTGCGTGCGTGTGTGGTGTGTGTGTGTGTGTGTGTGTGTGTGTGTGTCAGTTTGCTTGCATTGGCCAATACACGTTGTATACTTCTGCAGGTCTTGTGAATGTGTGATTGAAATTTTCTCATCGTTTACTTATTTCGGAGGAATTCCCGAAAAAGCTTTGTATATATATACATATACATATATATATATTTGACATTACTGTACTGTACTCATTAGGCTATATTATTGCTCCCTTCTCACCGTGAAGAAAATTACAACGGTGGCAATGATTACGAAGACAATGACGCCAATAAATGAGAAGATAATTAGAACCAGTAACAACAAGTGTGCAAACAACACAGCATTATATACAAAATCTTTGTGAATTTGTGTGTATTTGCTCAGAAACTCTTTGTGTCCTGGCAACAAGAATGTAGGATGTTGACAAGAATATTAAAGCTTGTGGTGTCAGAGGCCTGACATCAAGATGGCGCTCATTGCTGTTGGAGGTGTATGATTGATATAGTGGTTGCATGCCTGTATTGATGAATTATGGTTACTTCGATTGCAGGATTGCGTATATTGCACTCTTGCATATATGGAACGCGAAACCGGAAATACCTGCGGTATAAATATCATGCCACATTCAACCAAATTTATCAGAAATTGGTACATTTCTGCACAGAATGGAAATGATCAGCGTAGATCATCGATTCATTATATATTGATATATATTATATATGGACGAGCTGACGCCATCTCCCGTTGCCGACAAGAGCTCTCGCCAGTGTTGTCCCGTCCTCG